TTTACCTTCCAGTTAATAAAATGTCAGAGCGCTTCAGTTTCTGACATTTCCTCCTGCTGTCTGTCTGCCGATCAGGAGAGTTTGGGGAAGTGTTTCGGGGTGTGATGAAGTCTCCTGGGCGAAGCGAGGTTGCCGTAGCAATCAAGACCCTGAAGCCAGGGTACTCAGAGAAACAGAGGCAGGACTTCTTGAGCGAGGCCAGCATCATGGGGCAGTTCTCGCACCCAAATATCATCCGCCTGGAGGGAGTTGTCACCAAATGTGAGTCGTGACCTCTGACAGAAATCAAACCGCCGTTCACAACTTATATCTATCAGCTGTGTGTATGTTTTTCTTTTGCTACTGTCTCTAACTAACTTTTTTTTGTTTTAATTTTCAGTCAAGCATGCCATGATAGTGACTGAATACATGGAGAACGGAGCTCTAGACACATATTTGAAGGTAGGTTGTCGTTGTTGCAAACAGGATGGACACATGACTTTAAACTTAATATATTTATTCCTTAATATTTGTATTCCTTGAAAACTCGATATACCTTATCCAATCCTCTGCAAGAAAACTAATGAGCACATTTCCCAGAATGTCAAACTTTTTCTTTTATGTATGTGCAGTACAAACAGTAAAAAGCAAAAACAGACCAAAGACTGGAAATTATAGCACAATAAAACTCAATTAAGAATAAAGTATAAGTTTTAAACAATGCATTTTTTTGTTCCCTTTAGGACCGTGATGGAGAGATTCCTGTGTATCAGCTGGTGGGAATGCTGCGTGGAATAGCTGCTGGCATGAAATACCTCTCTGACATGAGTTATGTCCACCGTGACCTGGCAGCAAGAAACGTTCTGGTGAACAGCAACCTGGAGTGTAAAGTGTCTGATTTTGGTCTGTCACGTGTGCTGGAGGACGATGCCGAGGGCACATACACAACCAGAGTAAGTCTTACAGCTATATTTCACAGCCTAAAAGCACAGCAGCAGAAAGAACCCCCCCCCCCCCCCCCCCTTTTTTTTTTTCTAGTAACCAATGTCAGCCTGTTAATGATATTTTTGCTCTCAAGTGTCCAATCTAAAGTGTTGGTCTTTCAGCACCATGTGTTTCCATTCCATTCACGACTTGTTAATTTATCTCCTCTGTCAGGGAGGTAAAATCCCCATTCGCTGGACCGCCCCTGAGGCCATCGCTTACAGGAAATTCACTTCAGCCAGCGACGTGTGGAGCTTCGGCATCGTCATGTGGGAAGTCATGGCATTTGGAGAACGGCCCTACTGGGACATGAGCAACCATGAGGTATATTTCATCTGTCAGATCTTCTTTCCAACTCTTATGGTTGAGATGAGGGATTGTTTTGGCCTGTGTAGGTCAAACTTTAATGTATATTACCACTGAGACTGTGCGCAGGGTAGGTGGTGATTGAAAGTTGACTGATCCTATGTAGTTTCCCACCATCCTCTTTCAAATTAGCTGTTAACATCAACATACGAATGCAGCACTTTTTTGGACTGCTGCCAATGCAAACACTTCAGTCACTTCAGTTATTATTATAATTTAAATCTAAGCACTGCCTTCACTCTGCCCTGGTCTCTTTCTCAGGTCATGAAGGCGATCAACGAGGCCTTCAGGCTTCCTGCTCCGATGGACTGCCCGTCCGCTATCTACCAGCTCATGCTCCAGTGTTGGCAGCAAGATCGCTCCAAACGACCTCGCTTCTCAGACATCGTCAACATTTTGGACAAACTGCTCCGAAGCCCTGAGTCTCTGAAAACCATAGCTGACTTCGATCCACGGTATGAATGCTATTTTTTTTTATAGACGTTTAAAATTTGGTCACAAAGTATTAATACATTACATCTTGTTTGTTTAATCTGGAGAAAAAAATCAAAGTGTAAAAACGACAATTTGCCGTTTTACTTCCGCTTTCTCTTTAACTAGAGCAGTTATTAGTCATTGAAACATTCTGTAACTGTCTGGTCTACAGTATGTTGACTGTAAAACTGGTTCTCTCTTGTTCAAACATCATCACATGCGCACAGTGTACATAAAGCAGCAGTAAACGGTAATGAGTAATCTAATTATACATTGTTTCTTACAGTGTTTCCATCCGCCTACCGAGCACCAGCGGCTGTGACGGCACCATGTTCAGGTCGGTGCCCGAGTGGCTGGAGTCCATCAAAATGAGCCAGTACAACGAAAGCTTCACTCGCGCAGGGATCACGACCATGGAGCAGGTGCTCGCCTTGAGGCATGAGTAAGTGCACACATGGCACAGGTGCAGCTGCACTGATGTATCTGGCACCATGCCACATTTTGTAGTAACACAGAATGTATTGAGCTCTCAGCTTGAACATTTGTTATCCTGTTTGTGATGCAGGAATACCCCACTCCGCCTCAGCCCACATCATTCCTCTCATTCTCTTCTACTCTAACTTCTACAGCAGTCATTCCAGCCTTTTAACACTCTACATTATATAAAGTGATCATGTTTCCATACAAATGAATGGCCAAGTCAATCATTCAACCATGTATCTAATTTTTTATTTCACTATTTCAGCTGTTTATTCATTACTTTTAGCTACTTATTTTAACCATTTATGCAGCCACTCGCTTTATGAACTACTTCACAATATTTTCAGGGGTGCAAGTACCCAAAACAAAGTCCGTATTATTTTTAGCACACTCAAAACAGTGTAATTTATCATTTCCTTTCCTTTCCAGAGACATCAGGAATATTGGAGTGCGGCTGCCCGGTCACATGAAGAGGATAGCCTACAGCATCCTGGGCCTGAAAGACGAGACCAGCTCCCTCAGCGTGTTTGCAGTGTGATCTAAGCATTCCTCCAAATCAAAGAGCACTGACCGACCATGCCATTTCACTCATGGAGAAAGAGGACTGAAGTGGGGGGATGAAACTGAGCTACTCTGCAGGATTGTGTTTTTCTTTGGCACAGTGTGGCATGACTGAAGAGGATCCCCCAAGCCACTCAGAAAGGACTGAGATTGAAAACACTTATGTACTTTATGATAACAGAAGAGGAATAATTTATCTTTATGTACAAAATGTTTCATATGTTGAATATAAACAAGTCATGTGATGTAGTTAATAAATGAGAGACAATGTGAGTACTTGGCTTTATATTTACTGAATGACTGAAACATTTATGGCTCTTTATGATTAAGGGCTTTTTCTCCCAAGCACTCACTTTATCCTGCCAGTGTTTCTGGATCCTTAAATCAGTTTGTTTTTGCTACATTTTTTGTGATCAACAAGACTTGCTTTTACATTTGGAATAAATGTTCCACTCAGGGCAAAAGATCACACATTCGTATGTTTTGTAGTAACTCTCTGTATCACATGATACATTTTCCTCATATCATTTGTTTACACCATGTCTTAATTCACCTGTCCATTTTTATTTAATATTTATTTTATTTTATATTTATGTCATTTGTTACATGAGAGCTAACTGATAACTGGCCCATGTTTGCCAGTTTGACTGTGCTTTTTTGTGTTTAAATAAAATCAGTGTTGCCTGTGACTGGGTCACTTTCCTATCCTCAGCAGTCGTCAATGTGTATTTGTTTTTTGTTTTTTAGCCATGCTAGCATATGGCTCTATGAATGGCAATGTCACTTTGTCAATCGTTCAGCACTTAAATATCTTAACAACAATTTGATGGACTGTCATGAAATTTTACACAGACATTCATGGTCCCCAGAGACTTTGGTAATCCCCTGTCTTTACCTCTAGTGCCACCATGAGGCTGACATTTGTAAAACAGAGGGAAATACCTCTACAACCTCTGGATGGATTGTAAACTTTACAGATCCCTTAATTTTTCATCTGATGCAATCATGTCAAATTTCAGTTTCTCCAATACTCAACAAACTACCTTAAAGAGTACTGCCATTCCTTTACGTTGTGTTTATTAACAATTACAATGCTAACACACTAAACTAAGATGATAACTATGACTATAATCATGTTTAAACTGAACAAAAATGACAACCAGTACAAATCATAAATATGTCTTATTAACACTTACTGCCTAAATGTTCTGAAAAGATGTGGGCAGTATTTCTTACATTTCTCTTGCTAATTTACAAATAAAATCTTACATCATCCTCACACAAATACACCATGTAATACTGCTACACAAACCTCTTAACACTTTTATGATCACAACTGTACTGTACTTGACAAATAACTTTATTCTGACACCACCCTCTGGCCAACTACTGCATTAATTTAGCACGACTGCTGAAAGTTTAAAACAAATGTTACACCTCAACTTTTATCTCACAGCTTTCGTTATGCTCAGCAGTACAGCCTCACAGAGCTTGTTTTGGTGACGCCTGTCGTCCAGATGGAGTTGATTAACCTCAGTGACTTTGCCAAAGTGGAGCAGAATGTCACACCTACACACAACTCTGCTCCATCATACCACTGCCACTCAGACATATTAAATCCCCGCCTGTGTAAAGTTTACACCAGACATTCATGGATACAGTGTCATTTTAGAAACACTTCCACCTTAAAAAGCCTTAAAAAAAAAAAAGCCCAACTTGTTATCTAAAAGTTACTTCGTTGTGTCATGTCGTTGCATTTCTTGGCTCAAAGTTGAGAATGAGAGTTCATTCAATATCACACTTGATAATTATAGCTTATTCCTTCACACCCTTTCTCACACACAAACACCAAGACCCATAGGCTCTCTGTCAGGGGTGCGGCAAGACATTTTGGACCCCTTAACAACAGTTCAACAACAGTTCTGACACACTGAATATCTACGATCTGTGTCATTTTCCAGTCCATCTGAATCATTCAGGGACCCAGCTACATCCACACCCGCACCCCGTGGCACCCGCAAGCTCCAAGTAGCCTATAAAAGAATCATATACAGTGACCCTTTTATCAGAGACAAGGGAGAATTCACTAGATTAGAATTACCTCTCTTAGATTGTAGATACAGTCGACAAAGAGACAATTCATTTCCTCAGCCTGTATGGAGAAAGGTCAAGCTATTTACTCTGGAGATTCAGGATCAAAATCTCAGCAGAGCACCAAAGAACACAAATTTACAGGTCAGCTAAGCAAAGATTGGCACAGATATGTGATTTGGGAAAGATCTAATCAGTAAGGACTCAAATCTTGGCTTGAATGTACAGTATGTATTTTACAAGCTTTAAATGACTGTTGCAGGACATTCATATCCTACGGGGAAGATCCAGGCGATTGGAGACATATTCCAGTTCACAGTCGATGTGAGTGAATTTCCTCCAGAGGATGTTATCATCACATCCTCAAACAACCTGATAGAGGTCTATGCTGAGAAGGTGAGCCATGAAGTCGCTCTTGGTGTGAAAAATGTCAGATGTAATTTTTACAGTAACTACAAAACAGCACAGATAATGCTTTTGGAGGAGTGAGTTATTAGACAGCTGAGTGACGCATTCATGCAGAATTTAAAAAGTAGTATTGGGAGTATGGGATGGCAGATTATTGTTCACAACCTGCAATGTCACAGTGGATGAAAGGCAGCATTTAAAAGAATAATATGAATGTTAAAGAGTGGGTTAATGGATTAGTGGCTGGATTACAGAACTTCTCAATGTCTGAAATACTTTGTGTGTAATTATAAAAATTTGAATCTAGGCTGAAATTCTACTTAAACTGTAATTTAGAAAAAGTGTAGACTTTAACTGTAGCACAAAGGGTTTAGGGAGTTTAGAAGTTTTACAAATGTTATGTCCTACCTGTGATTTATGACTTCTGTCATTGTTTGAATACCACCCCTGGTCTGTAAAGTGTAACATAACACTATCTCTTCCTTCTTAGTTCTTATAATCTTTGTTTTTGCCATGCAGCTTGGAGAAGATGGCACAGTCACAAATACATTTTCCCACCGATGTGAACTACCATCAGATGTGGACCCCATGTCTGTGACCATGACCATGGAGAGCAGTGGGGTCTTGACTGTCAGAGCTCACAGGGTATTTTAGTACTACTCCTGTCTCTGCATTCAACATATAACAAATTATCAAGCTGTCTTTTAATTTCTTGCCTTTGTTGTTCTGTTGTGTTTCTCCAGATGTAATCTCAGCACTAAACTATTCAGAGACCCTCCTGTGAAACGGCAGACTTTAGCGTCCTCTAGCGGCCGGTAAAAGAATCACACAATGTACCATTCAGTGACTGTCGGAAATATGAGAAACCTCATCCAGTGCACTTCAACCCACCAACATCGCAAATACTATTTTAAAAAGTGTGATTTTCTATGACAGTTACCTTGGTGTAACATTTAAGAAACAGCAATGGGTGGCAAAGAAACCTGTTCAAAATGGACGAAATAAAGCCACATCTTTTATTACTAGATTAAATTATAAGCACGTGTGCTGCTAGCCTCAAATGGGTCACAGAGGTAATTATTTGTTTCTCTGATAATGAGATAATCATTATTATTATTATATAAAAGATAGTTAAAAGGGGACGTTTGAAAAACCCAGACGGTCGTTCAAAAACACTGATCCACTGCATGATAAAAAATAAATAAATAAAAAAAAAAGATTTTTAATCTATTATCCAAGTTGTGACCCTGTTTCCAAATCAAAACAAAGATGGCAGCCAGTCACAACTTAGAGAACGAGTTAAAGATATTTTTTCATCCAGATGGTTAGAAGTCTTTGACGTCTTTTATTTTGGAAATAACTTCAGAACAACAATACGTCTTTTTAAACAACCCTTTGGGCTTTTCATATATCGCAGGTTAATTATCTTTTACAGAAACAAAAAATTACCTCTGTGACCTATATGCCAATACATTGGGCGGCACAAAGTGGGGCTAATCTGCAAAACTCTGTAAAATGTAATTCTATTAAATGTCCTATTTCTGTCCAAAAACAACAGTTGAGTTGTGAAAAGACGCAATTGGCGACTTTTTGAGGCACCTGAAGGCAGCATAACGAACGGACGGAAGTGACGGTAGCGGTTGTCAAGGGACGTTTTAGTTTACGGAAGTGTTAATCAGGTGGCTACAACTGAAACTTAAAATGCTAATTGACGTCCACGGTTGTTGTCATTAAAGCGCTTTATAGCCAGTAACACTGGCTGTAATGTTTTGACACTAACATTACTTTCAAATACTGTCTACTGCCGCTACAAGGAACAGAGTGCCTGTCTTTTCTCGGACCAAACTGACCTCCCTGTGATGCTACCTCAGTTAGCCACATAACCAACATGGCAGAAGTTCCTCCTCCCGGATCAGTCGTAGTAGCTGACTGGCATCGATGTAAAGACAGCAAAGAATATTTCAGCAAGATCCTACACAAGAAAAGACGCAAGAACTTTGGTATGAAAAATAATTTTGGGTGAATTACATTGTTATCCCCGTATTTAAATGCAATACAGTGAAGAAAGTACATTTACTCAAGTACTGTACTTGAATACACATTTTATTTACTTTGCCTGAGTATTTTGTTTCCATGCTACTTTAAATTTCTTCATCACTACAGCTCCAACAAGCTTTAGTTACTTAGATTTTACATACAAAACATATGTAGAGCTTATAAAATATGAAGCTTTGTTAAAGACTGAACTATTTAACAGAATACACACAGAGCTGAAATAACGAGTTGATTAATTGTGATTAAATGTGAGGACTTGCTGCTTTTCTTTTTATTATTTTAATAAATATAAATACAACACTATTGGTTGACAAAACAAGACATATGAGGGTGTTACCTTGGGCTTGGGGTAAATGTGATGTGCATTTGTTATTATTTTCGAGTTCAACAGATTAATCCATAAAGAAAATAATGACTAGTTGCAGCCTTATATGAAATACTTAGAAGTCAGCTCCACCTCAACCAGATGCAACATTAAAATGCTGTTTACACATACAGAGTAATAATAATCTAAACTATAAACTATATAGTAGAATAGTATAACAGTCACAGCAGGCAATATTTTTACTCTCAATACTTTAAGTACGCGTGGTATTCATATTTGTAAGTAAAGGATCTGAATTTTTCCTCCACCCCTGATGTATGGTGTAACCAGGGCTTGATTATGCAACAGTATTTCAGTGAATTTGCTCCAAAGTAAGTTTTATGTGACTAAGAAAACCTTCAGAGTTAACAGAAACATTTATCGTTTCTATCATCATTTGAGCTATGAGTCCCTTATTAGAAATCAGTCACAAAATGTGGCCGGAAGATAAATATGCATTTCCTAGTTGAAATCACACTATCCCTACCAGAGAAGGTGTCCATAAAGTGAACCTCTCCCAGGTCACTGTTTGTGGTGTACAGACATACATACGGTGTACATGAAGTTGGTTTTGTTATTATGACTTTTAGATGTAGGGAAAGAGAGTTAATATTTGTAAACACTAAGTTGTCTTACGAGGCTATAAAATAATTTTCTCCAATTATGTTTGAGTTTGAGGTTATGTAAGGAGGAAAAGGTAAAGAAAATGAACTGTTAGATTACAACTTTAGTTGACTGTTTCAACATGAAATCATAAAAAATAGATCACATTTCAAACAGTCAGCACAGAACCAGAACAGAAAAAAATGAAAAGGTATGACATAATTCAGTTCACAAGAATTTACCATAAAAGGCAAAGTAACCACAAAGCTTTGTGTACGAAAAGATTCTTTGACCAGACACTATTTTGAAGCCAAAAGTAAAGCTTAATGGCCAATTACTTTGTGTAATTGTGAAACTTTTGACTGACTTTAATCGTCTATGCTGTTGGTTCAGTAATTTCCTTGGTGGCAATAATCTATATTTAGAGACTAAAAGAGAACTAAATCACAGACAGTACTAGAATACATTTACATAGCTACTGACTACTGAAATACTGGTGGTCCTTTTAAAACCTGTTTTACAGGCCTGTTGGAATCTCCAGTGATGCCCCCACATGTAGCTGTGGACACAGTTCATTATAAGATCTTCATCTCTGGCAAGAGTGGAGTTGGGAAAACTGCTCTTGCTGCACGTCTCGCCGGCTTGAATGTTCCTAATGTGCACTATGAAACAACAGGTAAGTCCCTGCTCTATACTGATGAAGCACAACATGCTGATAGCATCTGTTTGCCCATGTTAGTTAAAGACTACAACCTGCAGCGAGGGAGCCAACTCATCAAAATGTATTTCTGACTTTCCAACAAAATTTAAAATATCCACCAAAGGAATGATTATTGGTCTGTTACAAACACAGATGGTTTCCTGAGTGGGAACAGAATCAGTGTCACTCAGCTGAACGTTAAATAATACAACTAAAAACACTTTTTAAAGAGTTTTTAAATGAGGTCCCACTAATATTTGTTTATCTTCTGATTTTGAAGGTATTGAGACAAGAGTGGTGTATTGGCCGGTAAAGCTGAGAGAGAGTAGCAGAGTGCTTTTCTTTCGTCTACAGCTGTGGGACTGTGGAGAGAACGCCCTTCGTAGATTTGACCATCTGCTGCCAGTATGTATGAAATATAGTGTTTTTATAACTCCTGTACTGAGTTGTGAACTAATGAGAAACAGAACAGGCACTGTGTTCACTTTGTATTATTATACTGTGGATCAAAAATACTAGCAATCTAACAGATTTCGTCAAATCACTGTCCCCTGTGTCTCCCAGTCCTGCAAGGAGCAGGTGGATGCTGTCCTTTTCCTGTTCTCCTTCACTGACAGGACGTCCTTTGATGATCTGTCAAATCAAATTGCCAAGTGGACCGGGACACCTGTGGGCCGAGTTGTGAAACTGGTGGTTGGCACCAAGTATCCCTTTTGTGTTCTTTATTTTTAAAAAAAAAAAAAAAAAAAAACTTGTATGTTGACTTTATGAAACAGTTTCAGTCAAAACTTAAATCTCAACATACTCATTTAAATAAAGTAACTTTTGTCACCAGCTAATTTAATATGCATGTATGACTTAATTCTGACACTGCTATTATATAAATTCTAAGACTGAGTATGCAGCTAAAAACGTGCTCATCATCCCAATTTTTTTTTTTGGCTGTATCACTATGCAGACAGGCAATAGTCCTTAACGCTTTGTTCAGATTTGATCTCTTCATGCACTGTGACGTGGCAGAGAGAGACGTGAGGGACTTCCAGGAGACATGGAGTTTACCGCTGCTGCGAATGGGAGGGGAGGTCAGTGATGGGCTGGGTGACGTAGCCCCGCTCCTCAACTGCCTGGCAGAGCAGCTGTGGCATCAGGACTGTGTTACAGCTGGATCCGCCAGGCACCATTCACAGCAGGAGAAAGAGACTGTAATTTAACACTAAGCATGATTTTAAGGAGATCGGAGGTGAACTGGACTCCACGTAGTGTCAACCCTGACTGTCTTCCTTTGAGGGCCTGCACTTAGCAGCTGGTCTGGGAGAGCCTCAGATCCCTCAGGATGAGACGAGGAAGCTGCTGTAGAGATGAATGGACTGATCTGAAAGGTCTTAAAATTGGCCCATCTTATTGTCAACATCATGATATAAGACCAGATGTTGTCTGGGATTAATTGCGGCATTAATGTGATAAAGTTGGAATGCTATTACTGCCCGGTCTTAAAGATTGGGAGATATTCAGCAGTCGTTAGCATAGTTTAGTTGGGAGAAATGAACACAAAGTGCCTCTTGTTTTATCATCATGTTTTGTTTTGTCCACCAGTACTCAAAAAAAGTTGTTCATTTAGGAGTTAGAATATTGTCAAAATAATTCCTATTAGCATCTTTATTTGGTATAGACATTTCTGTTGCATCAGGCTGATATAAGGTCAGAAAATCTTTTTATTTTTCATTAATTAGGAAATAAAAAAGGTCAGTATTTGATACAAGGGAGAAAAAAAAAAAAATATCCCCAGTAATAAAAAGTATCCCCTCACTTGCTGTGTGTCTAATTGTGATGATTTCCGTGCATGTTTAAGTGCTTTGTGTGTAGAACTGTAGAGTACCTTTATCAAGAACATTAGTGCAGGTTAGTTAAGATAAATATTAGAGTGAAGAACATTAAAGTTTGTTAGTTATCAAAGTGCATACATTAATGGACAAGTTAAAAACAACCCAAGTTGGATGTAGAAAATAAAAATCATCATGTTCCCCTCAGGGACAGCACTTTCTTCCAAGCCTCTTTATCTGACCTGCAGTAAAAAAATAAATAAATAAATAAAATAAATAAATAAATAACAGGCATCACAGATGCAGGACTGGCTGCTAATGAAGATTTATGAGTCATTAAGAACAGAGGACATGCTTCTCTTACCTTGTGTAAGTAACAAGTATCATGGCGGTCGGATGTCCTATTTGACTTTGAGAGAGATGCAGCAGGAAGGAGTCTGGGGGTAAACCCAAGACTTCAGTCTTCAGATGCTCGATGCGCACGTGTGTGGGGAATTTAGCATGATCCACAACTATAAACCGTTGATCCCTGAACATGAAGGAGAGTGAAAACAGTTTAATGACCAACAGTTTAGGGTATTCCCAAATAAGACTGAAATGAACAGAATTTTGATTCAAGTCCTGTCAATATAAAATTAAAACATTTTGTCTTGCAGCTGGTCAGACCGCAGAAGTAAACAATTTACTTTTTGATTTTTTGTTAGAAAATGCAGCTTTGCTTTTAATGTGTTAAAAATGAAAAGTAATATTAGTAATTCCCCCATTTTTTTGCAGTAATGAGTGCTTGTCAAGTACTTTTTGAAAGAGATGATCAGAAGGTCATTGAAGAGATGGAGGTAGACGTCGATGAATGACGTTCTGGAGTTGTAAGTGCCTGTCACAGTCAGCTGTCTCATGGGACCCTGGTGCACCAGAAAACGCCCACTTACGACCAGAGGAACTGACTGGATAGAGAAGGAGGCAGTCTGTTAGAGGTTACTGCCATCTGCAGGTTACATAACAGAATCAAGTCTGTTTTATTGTCTCTCTATTAGAAATCTTACAGTGGGGGGGAAAAAAGGCAATTTGTCACCTTCACTTTACCAAAATCCAGCAGCATTTCCAGGCAGACCAGCTCCTCAATTTGTTTCATTTTTCGGACACCCTTGTCGCACTCGGCCACCATCTGTGAGGGCAAAGAAGTGGTGGAAGAAGTTCTGTGATCTTTTAGCAACACCACAGTGTAGAAACACTGTTACAAGTACAGAAGTATTAGCATCAAAATATACCTAAAGTACCAGTAAAAGTACTAATCATGCAGAATGGAACACTTCAGAATAATGTACGTTATTGGATTATAATTATTAATACATTAATGTGTACATCGTGTTACAACTGTTGAAAGGTGGGCTTAGTTTGAATTCATATACTGCTGGGTTGCTTGTGTAATCTCTCCTGTAGATAAATAAAGTCTGATGTTATCTTAACATCTAATAATGCATCATTTATTTGATTAGATTTCAAAGTATTAATCTGAACCTGCAAAGTGAATAGCAACTGATATTTTCAAAATAAATGTATTATTAAAAAGAAATGCCTCTGAACTTTAGTGGAGAAGAAATAGCATAAAATTGAAATACTCAAATACCACAGTGATACCACATTTAACTTTAGAGTTAGAGTTCCATTAAGAGGCAAGTCATGTTTATTCACAGCTTTTTTTTTATTTTTTTTTTAAAAAGCTAAAATTTGCATTACCACATCACTCTTAGTCATCTCATTCCTCTGTTCACATTCGTCTGAGCCTGAATGTACAGATCTGAACACTTGAAAGTAAAACAGTATTACCTCATGAATGGCTTCTATTGCTTTTTCAAGATTTGAAACTGAGTCAGAGTCTGGTTCAGTCAGTTTCAGGATGTTCTGAAATGAAAGATAAAAACCCACACAAAAGCAACTTCTGACTTTGGGAAACATTGTGGCCCAAGTTGAATTTCTTTTGAACTCCAATCAGATGCCTACCTCAAGCAGAAGTTTAATGCGAGTAATTCTCTGGAAGGGAAGGACAAGGAATGACTTGAGGCTTTGTCTTTGACACACTGGGTCACTCTCAAGCTTCTTGAGCAAAGACAGAAAGTCTCTGTTCTGCTGCCTTGAAAAAGAAGATGTGACTGAATATGGCTTATGAGGAATTTGGTGATGTGGAGTACCATCAGTGGTGTTGAGCACAGAACAGGGACTTACAGCAGCTGGTTGATAAGGGCTTCCTGGTACATCATGTTAGTCACATATGGCACATAGAGAGTGTGAAACTCTGGGCAGTGCTGGAGCACAACGTCTCCAACCTGAGATATTAACACACTCTCTCCCAGTCGCATTTCCAGATCCATGAGAAACCTAGAAGAGGCAGGACACCAGCTCAGCATCAACATCAACATCATCACAGCCAGTTCAAAAACAGAAGCAGTAGTGTATGTGGAGCTCTCACTTTTCACTGGCTGCCATGACTCGACGAAGGTTGGAAAACAAAATGTGATGCTCCATTTGAGAAAGGGTCTGTTTCAGAGCCTTTGATGCATGGAAATGATTGACAGCAACTCCAAGGCTCCTCAAGTAAGACGCTTCAGATCCGATTAACTCAAACATCGACTTGAAGTGAACAAAATGAGAGTGAGGAAGAAAATTATTTTTCCAGGATGTTCTCACTGTGACACTAAACCTTGTAGAGCCTTACCTATGAAGAATTTAAAAAAACAAACAAAAAAAGACAAGGCGGGTGATCTTTTGTCCCATGAAAAACCAAAATCAACACTGAACTTGTCCAAATAAGCACTGTCTGTGTATAGTCAAAACTATACTTCCAAAACTATTAATAATGTGCAATGAGTATTAATCTGCAGCTGTTAAATAGTCCCAAACTAATGCACTATTAACTCCTGTTTGAGTAACAATTCCTAAAAACTAGTGACCAGTTACTGAGTATTTTATAAAAATGAAAAATGCATTTGTGACCCGTTTTCACAAGATAAGACTGAACAGCTGGGGAGCTGAGTATCAAAAACAGAGCAGGGAAGTCAGAACATATTAACAAGAGGACTGTTGGTTTTGGTCATTTCATGGGACTTGTTGACAATGAAGAAAAAACTATATAAATACCAGACATATTTCATTCACAAGTATAGTCCATAAACTATACCTGTACTGTGCTGATATCAATGCTAACATTTCAACCTAACACAGGCTAAAAGTGACTTGCTAAATTCTGATCCTACAAAAATGAACCTAAAGATGCTTATGTAAGCTAAGAAGCTAAAAATAAATGCTAGAGGTAAACGTTAGATGTTAACATGCTAACATAGTTGTTGCAAGAATATCCACCAGCTAATGTTTGCAGTAGAACAAGAGGTTAACATGATATATTTTATATCATATTTAATATCCTGCTGTAACACACATATCAGCATGATGAGGCTAACAAAAGGTACAGCAAGTATAATTTCAGGGTATAATTTCATATTATCACTATCCCTCAAAATTAGTTAAGACTCATGTCATGTCTCAAATGACGAGCAAATAAATATAGAGCTTTTCACACCTCCTGAAGGCGAATCTCTCTGGTGGTCAAGCTGTTGAGGAGGCTAGACGCCTTCACCTCATCTAGATCTTGCCAAAGGGTAAACGGAGTCGCCTTAATAGGGTGAGGTGGAGGTGAGGATGGAGGCGCTTCAGGAGGGTTTACTTGAGGGAAACTGCATTGAGCGATAAGACGGGGCTGCACACCCTGAAGATACTGGGGTGTTATCAGTTGAGACACAAAACTCTTGTTGAGTCTGTGCAGATCATCCCTCACCGCCTGCAGACTGTAGTCCTGATACAGTGGGACTGCAGAGCAAAGGGAGAAAGACAGGGTACTTGAAATTGATATAAATAATACATACTTTCCAATGACTGACAAGAGGCCTCAAGTAGAAAGGTAAACTTACAAATGTGGATGTACTTTGACTGGAATGATACACTCGGCAGCTCCTCCTCAGCTGGATCTACTATCCTGGGATGAATAAGCAAAGCCACATTTAGTTAACTGTACAGATTATAAAGACTACAGATATACAGCCTCTCTTACCCTTCTGAACTTTTGTCCTCTTCATCGAACAAGGACAAAGTTGAGTTGGCTTCTCCAAGTCTAGGAACTGAGGAAAACTTTGGCACCGAGTGCATTTTCCCCAGATCCCATGTGCTCTTTAAGGCCACTGCCCTGATGGCAGAAGATATGTCTATGGGAGAACTAGAACAGGACAAACATATTTTACTGCCATAGTCCTACGTAAAATAAAACATTGACTTTTGTAGATGCACCATGTGGTCCTTACCTGCTAACCTCAAGCTGGTTCAGGGAGTCTCTGCTCTCCTCACGGCCTCTGCTATCCTGTGCATTGTTGTTCTCCAGAGTGTGAAACCCTGAAGAAAGCTGCTCTCTTATCTTCATGGCTGGTATTTGTGATGTCAAATTATTTACTAGATGACTGTTTCCAAAGTAGGAGTGTAGATTAGTGAAGACGCAACTGCTCAAAGAGTAGCTGTTCTCTTCTCTGCAATCAAACTGGGCCATAATGCTTCAGCCTGAGACCGCTCTCTCACACAAGTCTGTCACTGAAACTTTGTTTTAAAACTCTGCCCCAAAGTGCAACTGTGACTGTGTATATCCACGGCAGCATCCTTCACCTGCCTCGCAATCACTCAGATTAAACAGTTTCTGTTAAGTGCAGTCTGAGCCTCAAGCAGCAATCACAAAAACTAGAATCAGGTGCGACTTTTCTCACATTGGCTCACACAAACTGAGGTTTCAGACAGATGACAGGAGAGCCACAACTCCAACAAATCATTATCTTCATTATTGATTTATCTGACATCTATAAAGTAATTGCCTGAAAACTCCATCACAATTTCCTGGAGTCAGAG